AGGTAGGAGCTTACTAAGTACTTGAATTCATTTGACATTTGAAGGGTTCCCTTTGCTTTATTCAAAATCGCTTCCAACAGTAAAGAAAGCTTCACTTTCTTTATGAAATAATGTCTATTGCAGAAAATACTCTAAGGATGATAAAACAAACAAATCTTATGGTCCTAAAAAACTAAGTTTCATTTTGTAAATAAGTCAAGATTGCTAGACTTAAAAGAACCAGTTCTGAGGACCATCCATCCATCCCACTGATGTGGACATGGCCCAAACACTACAGGCTTCCTCTCTGAGCATGAGCTAGAGAGAGTTCACAGGCACATAAAAAAAAACGTGCCTCAAAATAACTTTCAATTGCTGTCAAAATTCAAATCTGTTTACAAAGGACAAAGATTTGATACACTGCACATATTTTTTTAAATTATTCAATCAAAAAGATAACCTAACAAAACAAATTCTAAGTGTTTAAATTTATGTTTTCATCGCTGTACAATACGTGTGTGTATATATGCACACCCCCAGACATCCCCATGTGACTGGTTTGAAAAGAACTACTCTCTTCTTAATGGGTGTGTTCTGGCAGGTTTGTCTAAAGACATCTGTCTAACTACTTTATAGTCCGTCACATCTTGTTCAAGCTGGAAGATTTTGGAAGCTGTCTAATCTAACCTTCCTTGAAATGAAGTAGTTCCCTCTTGTAATATTCAAAACACTGCTCTGTAGGTTGTTCATCTCTTAAAGCTCATTCAGAATATAAACTAAAGGTGTGTTTAGCCTATGTGAAGTGGGACGAGTGCTGCCCAGGATCCACATGGCCAAACGCATACAAAATTAGACTGGGCTGGCCAGTGAGAGCTCATAGGCTGTGTCCTGTGACATGTAGCTAGGCCTTATTTCTCCTCAATTCTCTTCAGTGCAGGACTATATATTCATTGTTATTAACTTTTTTTTAGTTTCAGCCCACCATTCCACACACTGAGATCCTAGGGATCCTGCAGTCCAACATCAGTTAAATATGCCATGTCTTTATCAAAATCACTGGCACAGCAAACACCTTTGCAATGTAAAGAAGAGCAGGAGGAAACTGAAGGCAGCAAGTATAGACAACACTTACGAGAAGCTTTGCCACAAAGAGAAACAGAAATGGGATGGTAGCAGGATGGATATTTGGTGGGGAGGTCAAATGCTTTTTTAAAAAATATTCAAATATTTATATACCAATGGATCATCCAAAAGTGAAGGAAAAATACAGTACGTAAAAACATTTTCTAAGTTGTAAAATTCAATATAAATTTATTGTATATGTCTCCTTTATCTTCTTGCTTGGTTAATTCATGTCAAAATTTGGTTTTTAGAGCCTCCAGCTCCATCTGAATTCTCTCTCCTTTCAGAGGCTGTGCTCCCAGGATGATACCAACTTTTTCTCTGAATATTCTGAAATCTCTAACTATATCCTATAGACCCAGCCTTTGCCATTATGAATTCTAATATTACATGATCCCTTTCATTAATGTCCTTCACTCTTTATCAGAATTTTGAAATTCTGGTTCAGGTTTAATGGATTCATCAAACAGAATCACTTTTTTAAACACAAAAACCTTAGATTTAAAAAAAAATTTTATTGCAGCCCTACAGTCAGCAAAACGGCAAATACAAAAAAGTTTATCATTTCGTAAAATCATTCTCTAAGGCTGTAACACCCAATCATGAAAATTTCTATGTAAAGCAAAAGCGGCAGATACCAAATTCTTCCCAGCAGCATATCTGCATACATAACGACATCATCAACACAGGGCCTCCTCCTGGCCCAACCCCCGTCACAGGCTCAGACAGAAAATCAGCGTGCACACACAAATTTCATGCACAAGGTCTGCTCCACAGAAGACACTGGCTGGTTTACATTTTCTTTCTAGTTCTAAGCTCACCCTTTGAGTAAGTTAGTAAGACAAAAGCAACTGTGATCTGCAAATGCAGGACATGCTCCTTCAGAAGTCTGTTTCTAGCTGTACAGCGTTGGTGGTACGGTGGTGAGCATAGCTGCCTTCCAAAAGCCCATTTCTAAAAATAAATTATCAGTTAAAATATGAAATTTGTTAGCACCAAATGAATCTCCATCTACTAATGCATTCTATTTAGTGATAAAGAATATATTTTCAAAGCACATTGCTTGTTGATGAAATATAAAGTTTAACACTTTCCAAAATGTACTTCGAAAATACCAAAGCATGAAAGGAAAAAAATCGCCAATTTTCCCTTTAAAGGTATAGGACAAATAAATCTTGCTCAGTAATTAACCATACACGCCTAATTGATAGGAGCACTGCAAAATAACAAGAAAGGTGTCTACTTTCATAAACCAAATCATAGATTTAAAATGAGTCATTATGTTAAGCTCTACGAAAACTGTAAAGTTATTTTGTCTTTATGTTCATTTCTATCACTTATCCCCAAAATAAATTTTCATTAATCTCACATCTATTGACCATAGCCCTTTTTTTGCCAGAAATTGCCTCATATCATTTTTTTGTAATTTGAACATTACTTCGTTCAGTGTCAACACACAGTAAGCCCTCAACAAACATGTTAAGAATTCTCTTCAATTCAAAATTTTAACAGCTATAAAGGTCAGAGGGAATGCAATATTTCTTCTAAAAATACAAAATTTTCAAACTCAATCAATATCATAATGTGAAATACCTTAACATTATTCCAATTTTAAGCCATTTTCTTTCATTCTTTTTTATATAACTGACATAAGCCATTTTCTTAAACACGAATAATTTTAATGGATTTCTATCACCATTCTTTTTTAAAATATATTCTTAGCTTCCTGCTGCAAAAGCAGAAAAATGTCTTGGATTTCACATAAACCCATAGGTTTAGAAACAATTTACAGGTAAACTGACTTATAAAGAGCCCCACTAAAATGTGAGCTTCAGGAACAGGAGAGACATTATCCGTTCACTGCTCTTGCCCCCCTCTCTTCCACAATGCCTTGAATGGTGCTTCTTACACAGTAGGACTGCTGGACTGAAAGAACCTATGTGTGCAGACCCCTTGGTACAAAGCCACACAAACCACCTGCAGGATCCCACCACCACCACCACCACCACGAGAAAATCTGGAACAATCTCGTGTTGTCCAAATACAAAAGGAATCTTAGAGAATGGAGGACAGGAAGAGAAGATGGACACTCAGGGGAACTGAACCCAGACTCGGTCTTCACACACGTCCTGATGTGTTCATTTGATGCTATGTCTAAAACCCCACCAATTTAGGATTCATTTAGGTTAACAAGCCGCCTCTTTTAAGAATGTAGGAACCATTTAAGCCTTTCAACAACCTTACAAGATAAATATTTCATCATTCTATTTTGCAGATGAAACTGAGGCTAAGTGACCAAATCAGTTTCCTAGTGTCAGACAGTACTTTCTTGGTGTCACACGCTTTATGTAGAGCACGACTCAGAACCTTTATCCCCCAGTGAGAGGGCAACAGGACTAACCTTCATGTACACACCAGTGCACATCAGTTCCCAATACCCTTCTATCCGAACACCTAAAGAAGCTTTCTCAAAGATGGGGCTTTTGTTTGGGGTGACAAGCAAGCAACAAGTAGTTCTGGCACATGGAACATGTTGGAGGCAAGAATCTAAAGTGAGGGTCATGGATTTCGGATGCCTGGGGGAACCAAGGCCCAAAGACAAACCGCAGATTTCAAAACACTGCACAGGGCCAGCTCTTGCTCCAGAACAGCTTGCCTCTCTCTCTTCCTCTTCCTCCCCTTCCACGTGACCCTCCCAGTTCTCCGCACCAGAAAATAGGCTACCATTGTTAGTGCCATGCTTTGGCAACATAACACGGCCCAGCCACAGTGACTGGCACAGAACAGATACACAAATATTTACTGAATGAACCAAGAACCAAAGACGTTTCTGTGGGCAAGCTGAGACCCTGCCTGCCATCTGAACAAAGTGGAGATGAGAGACGCACCCTAAGCACCTGATCACTGGTGTAAAAGTGAACTTTCCAAGGGCGGGTCTAAAGTGGGGACAGACTACAGTGAGAGCCCGACAGCGGTTCTCCTTCCTCAGCCAGACCGCCTCACAGAAGAAAACAGCTCAGCACTTCAGCACGCAAAGACAGATCTCACCAGGGGCACGATTTTTCAATATTTTACAGAATGAAAACAGACACCATTACCTTATTTACGCTGCATAGTTTAGGTCATCTTAACACGAATAGCAGCTTAAAAAAAATCCCCTCTCAGCATTCTCAGGGTGAGAGTGGCGGTGGAGAAGAGAGCAGACGTCTTCCAAAAAGTTCGCAGTGGGTCAAAAAACAAAAAAATCATACTCCACAGTGTGGAAAAGTTTCCTTCAAGACGTGACCAGTGATTCATACAGACATACGTTTTACATGAAATAATTGCACAGAGTCCACGTTTATAGGAAGACACGAGGATAAGCCAAGCGGCGGCAAAGTCAATTGTGGAAAATTTTACCTGTTTCCCCTCCGGCCGGCACCCGCGACCTGGAGACTTGGCTACTAGTTCCAATTGGCACCAGATTCCTCATAACGTGAGGTTTTCAGACGTCAATTACAGACAAGAGCCAAGAGCACCAGGGAGGATGCCCGTTTTCCTCCTCCCCCTCCCGCGCGCCCCGGAGGGAAACGGCCCGCTTCTACGTGAGCGAAGGGCCGACCCCGAGAGCGACGCCGCGCCGCCCGGGGCTGCGGGCACACCCGCCGGCGCCCGCCGCGTCCTCCGCGCGGGGCTGGCGCTCCTCGCCGCCGCCTTTGTCTCCGCCAACTCGCGCTCCAGGGCCCTCCCGTCAACAAGCTACCTCAACGGAAAGGAACGTTCCCGAAGTCGTTAAAAAGCAGAAAGCCGAGCATCGCGCGCCCGGAGTCTCGTTCCCAGGCCGAACGGCCGGGCCGCACACGGCGAACGCCCGCCCCGGGGCAGCCGGCCCCCGCCGCCCTCCCGCCGCCCGCACGCACCTCCGTGGATGGGCAGCGGCGCCAGCACCTGGCCGCGGACCTCGGCCTTGGGCGAGTCGAGCCCGTAGCGCCCGCGGTCGATGCGGAACGTGAGCGGGCCGCCGCGGCCGGGCTCCTGCACCGTCACGTTGATGAGCGCCGTGTAGTACTCCTGGCTCGCGTTGTCGGCCCGCGCCGGCCACAGGCTGCAGGTGAGCAGCGCGAGCGCGGCGAGCCGGGCCGGGCCCGCCCGCGCCGCGCTCATCGTCCCTCCGGCCGCCGCCGCTCGCGGACCGGGCTCCGGCGCCGGCGCCGAGGGGCGGGGCGGGCGCGGCCGGCGCTGCGGCGGGAGCGCGCGCGCGCAGCCTGCGCGGGCCCGGGCACGAGCACGGCCCTCCTCGGAGCCGTGGCCCCGCCGCTCGCCGCCCTCACGTCCGCGGCCCGCCCGCGGGGACGCGCCCGTGGGGCCTCGGCGAGGACGGCTGGTCAGGCTGCGCGCGCCCGTCTCCTCAGGCCCCCTCCAGAGCTTTGGGAGCGGGCTCCCTCCATCTCCCGGGCCCAGACCCGGGCCCGCGCAGTGGGGGCGCCTCGCGAGGACGCGGCGGGGGCGGGAGGACGCGCCAGGAGAAGGGTCTGTGAGCACAAAGTCCCGCTCCTGGCTGCCGCCTCCGGCGCGCGCTCGCCGCCACCCCGCCGCCGGCCGAGCGGCAACGCGCAGGCCTGGCGCAGCCCCGCCCCCGCGCGCATGCGCCCAGGCCCTGCCGCTCCCGCCCGCCTGCACGAGGGTCCGAGCTGGCCGGCTCACCCCTCGGCCCGCGCCTCCCGCCCGCCAGCCCCGCGCCGGGCCCTGGTCCTCAGTCCGGCGTGACGGGCGCGGGGCCTGGAGCGTGGGAGCTTTCCAAGGGCCTATGGAGAAGTTTGAGACTAGAATAAAGAAGAAAAAAAGCTAAAGGTTTACAGTTAACTTAAAAAATTAAACGTCCATGAGATTTCCCGTTTCAGCTGGTCAACTGCAACTCTTACAGTTGACACGGCGGGTGTTTCTCTGTAAATAAGACTATCGGGGGTCTGCTGCACTCGGAACTGTAAGGACGCCTGAGTGGTTAGGAAGGACCACTACAGACTAGATGAACCTTTCAGAGGCCCTGGACAAGGAGGAGGTTGTGGTGAGATCCCCTAGACGCACACACTCCACCATCCACACGCTGCGTGTCAGTTAAAGCTACGCACCCTTCTAAAGCGTAAGCTAAGGGGAAGGGTGGGTCTAGCTTCAGGTACAGCTGAATTCAGGAGTTTATAGGATATTGGGCTGTGTACTCGTCATCGTTCTGGTGGGGAGGTGGGGTGGGGGAAGGATGGCATCTTCTGACCAGCCAGGCCTGGATCTCCTGCCTCCTATGGTAGGAAAAGGGCAGAGTCAGCTTTGCACAGCCACGTGTACTGCGGATCTTGGAGAGAGGCTGCTTCCGAAAGGAAAACTGAGGTGCTGTTTCCAAGGAAAGGATGTGGATGCAGTGCAGGCTAAAACATCGCATGTCTATGAGTGCCTTCTTAGGGACGTGCTTCACAGCTTCTCCCTCCAATTCCTTCCCTTCCACCCTGACTACCATGGTCTCTCTAGTCCCTGTCCTGGCTTATTGAGACTGGCTTGTACTTGCTTCCTTGCCTCCAGGAAGCACAGCCCCTACCTTCACCAAAGCAACCAGGCCGCCTCCCTTGGCCAGCACTCACACGGGGCTCTGCTCTGACCCTCCTCCAGCTGGACCCTTCCTCACAGGGCAAGGAGTCCATGAGACCAAGTTACCCAAGCTCAGGTACCGGAGACCTGGAATTCCCTTTCCAAACAGCCCTGGGCCACTTGGGGCCTGCATGGGACTCTTCCCCAGTGGAGGTCTCCTTGCTCTGCTCCTCTCGCTTGGCATGCCCTGGCCTGCCCCTGCCTGTGATGCTCATGCCCTCTACTCCCTTGTTCTTTATTATTTTGTTTGTGTTTTTGTTTTTTGTGAGAAAGATTCGCCCTGAGCTAACATCTGTGCCAATCTTCCTCTATTTTGTATGTGGGATGCCCCCACAGCATGGTTTGATGAGTGGTGTAGGTCTGCATCTGGGATCTGAACCGGTGAACCTGGGCTGCAGAAGCAGAATGCACAGAACGTTAACCACTTGGCCGTGGGGCTGGCCCCTCCTTGTTCTTTAAAGGATCTTTCAAAGTGTGGGCTGCCCATGGCCCCTGGCAAGAGAACGGATTGTAGAGGCCCCCAGACACCACTCTGTTAAATCAGATCAGAAGAAAGAGGCTTCCTTTAAAGTCCTTCTCAGCCCTTCTGAATTTGTCGAGGAGAGAGATGGTTCTGGAATACTTTTAACACTTCTCTGGCACTTACTAACCTCCCTTTTAAACACGGGCTGATGCTAACAATGCCCTGCATTTGGTCATGTAGTTGTCTTCAATTGTGTGCAGACATTGCCTTTGGGGCAAGAGGCTTTTCATTTATAGTAGTGATACCTTTTAAGAATTGTGGTAAATACACGTAACATAAAATTTACCATCGTAACCATTTCTTTTTTAAAGATTTTATTTTTTCCTTTTACTCCCCAAAGCCCCCTGGGTACACAGTTGCACATTTTAGCTGTGGGTCCTTCTAGTTGTGGCATGTGGGATGCCACCTCAGCATGGCCCATTGAGTGGTGCCATGTCTGCGCCCAGGATCCGAACCGGCAAAACCTGGGCTGCTGAAACGGAGTGCGTGAACTCAACCACTCGGCCACGGGGCCGGCCCCCATCGTAGCCATTTTAAAGTGTCCAGTTCAGTGGCATGAAGCACACTCACACTGTTGTGCAGCCATCACCTCCATCCATCTCTAGGACTCTTCATCTTGTAAAACTGACTTTCTCTACCCATTAAGCAATAACTCCTCATTCTCCCTTCTCCTTGGCTGCTGGTAAGCACCATTCTATTTTCTGTCTCTATGCAGTTCACTGCTCCAGGTACCTCCTGTTAGTGGAATCACACAGTATTTCTCCTTTCGTGACTGGCTGATTTCACTTTGCATAATGTCCTCAAGGTTCATCCATGTTGTAGCATGTGTCAGAATTTCCTTGCTTTTAAAGAATGGGTAATATTCCATTGTGTGTATATACAGTCACACGCCACTTAATGCCAGGGATGTGTTCTGAGAAATGCATTCTTTGAAGATTTTGTCGTTGTGTGAACACCATAGAGTGACTTGCACGAGCCTAGATGGTCTGGCCTGCTGCACACCCAGGCTCTGTAGTACAGCCTACTGCTCCTGGGCCGCGTGTTACTATACTCAGTGCTGCAGACGATTGTAACACAGTGTGTATCTAAACATAACTAAACATAGACAAAGCACAGTAAAAATACGGGATAAAAGATAAAAGGGGCACACTGTACAAGCACTGAGTGAACGGAGCTGCAGGACTGGAGGTCGCTCTGGGCGAGTCAGTGAGTGAGTGGTGAGTGAATGTGGAGGCCTCGGACGTCGCTGGACACTACTGAAGACTACAAACACCGTAACTTGGGCTGCACTAAATCTTTCTTCAGTAATAAGTTAACCTTAGCTTACTGTAACTTTTTTCCTTTATAAACTTTTAATTTTTTTAACTTTTTGACTTTTTTGCAGTAACAGTTTACTACACCATTGTATAGCTGTACAAAAATATTTTCTTTGTATCCTTATTCTATAAGCTTTTTTTCTATTTTTAAATTTTTTATTTTTCTTTTTTACTTTTTAAACTTTTTTGTTAAAAACTAAGACACAAACACACACATTAGCCCAGGCCGGCACAGGGTCAGGATCATCAATCTCAGCGTCCTCCACCTCCAAATCTTGTCCCACTGGAAGGTCTTCAGGGGCAATAACACGCATGGAGCTGTCCTCTCCTGTGATAACAAGGCCTCTTCTGGAACACCTCCTCAGGGACCTGCCCGAGGCTCATCTTGAGGAGGAGTCACTCTTTTCAGAAATACGTCCATGGTGTTTGCTTGGTTTGTTTCTTTTTTCATCATAGATTGCTTGTAAGCAGATAATGCACCCTGATCATTCCTCTCTATTAATGAAAACCTTTCGGTCTTGGGGTCGTGTTTTCAAACTTTTTAAGCAGCTTGTTGAGATCTGTAAAAGCTTCTGCTACACCCTTCACTGTGAATTTTCTTGGGAGTTCTTTTTCTTCTCCTGCAGTTTCCTTTTCTCTCACTGAGGTTTTACAATGGCTATGACATCACTAGGCAATAGGAATTTTTCAGTTCCATTATAATCAAATGAGACCACTATCATATATGCAGTTCGTTGTTGAGCAAAACGTTTCTATGCCGTGCATGACTGTACCATTCTTTTTTTATCCATCTGTTGGTGGGCACTTGAATTGCTTCCCCCTTTGGTCTATTGTGAATAATGCTGCTATGAACATGCATGGACAAATACCTCTTCAAGATCCTTATTTCAATTCTTTCGCATAAGTACCCAGAAGTGGGATTTCTGGATTACGTGGTAGTTCTATGTTTAATTTTTTGAGGAATTGCCATACCATTTTCCATAGTAACTACACCATTGTACATTTCCACCAACCCCGCATAAGGCTTCCAAATTCTCCACATTCATACCAACACTTTGGACAAAACTACCTTTTAAACGATTGAAGTAAAAAAAAAAAGTGAGTTGATTAAAAGTCTGAAGTAAATAAACGCACAGGTGGTACTTGGCTATGGCAGATCTCATGAAGGGCACGTGCTGAGGTCTGACTCAGGCCCATACTGCCCATGAAACTCCCTCCTCTGTGGGGCCATTTCTCTGAATCTACCGTCCATGACTCCCCCCCGCCTTTGCTCCCATCTCCTGTCTTCCAAAAAATCCCAAGTCACCTGTAAGCTCCAGCGGAATTGCCCTTATCTGCGGAGCTCCAGTGGTCCCAGCTGCCAGCCTCTCAGGTCCGGGTCCTGATAAGGGCTTCTGTCCTTCAGGAGCAGATCTGCCCCTTCTGGGAGCAATGTCTGACTTTCCAGGGCCATAGGCAGGGGCAGACTGTGTGTAAAGCAGACTACGTAGCACTTGGAGCTCCAGGGATCAGAGCCCCAGCTGGATTTCCTGAGCAGTGTCAGGAACCTCAGAGGGTTGCCCAAAATCTAATTTCTCCTCCTCCTCCCTCTTCTCCTCTTCCTTTTCTTTCTCAGATGGCACATGATCCCCCTCTGGTCCTAGCAAGGCCTTGGTCTTATTTTATTATTTATGTGTTCTCTTCTATCACTACCCCTCTCTCTCATTCCTTACCCCACAAGCAGCCATTCTAACGTGCTTAATGTATAACATTTGTGTTCTTGCATTATGTGTGGCGTTGTTTAGTGTACATGTGCTTCCTAATTAGAAAACAATATTGGTTATCTATGTCATTCTGTTTCTCACTCTCTTCACCCAGCACTATGCTGATGTTTTTTTACTTTTTCTTACCTTATTTATTAAATTTTATATTGAAATATAACATACCTTAGCTAAAGTGCAAAAAATCTTATGTATACAGCTCAACCATTGTTCAGTAAGTAAAAACACCTTTGTAACCACCATCTAGATCAAGGCGGAGAACATTGCCAGCTCCGCTAAGGCTTCCCTAGGCTTCTCAGCTATTAGCACCCACTATTCTGATTTCCATCACCATAGATTAGTTTGCCTTGTTTTGAACTTTATAGATCAAACAGATCAAATTGTGTGATTTAATAGAATCACACAATATGTACTCTGTGGTGTCTGGTTTCTTTTTCTTAACGTTTTATCTGTGAGATTCTTTCATTTTTTTGCATGTAGTAGTAGTTTGATCTTTTTCTTTGCTGTATAGTATTCCACACTTGATTTGTCCATTTTTGTATTGATAAGCATTTGTATTCATTTTCATTTGGGGCTACTATGGCCAGAGCTGTTATGAAGACTCTGGGTGTCTTTGATGGACATGTGTATGCCTCTCTGAGAGTCTGTATTCTGGAGTGGAATGGCTGCATCACATGGAAGACATGTAGCTGGCTTTGGTGGATACCAGCACTGTCTTTTTAAGATGCCCTCCCTTCACCCCTGTCTGATCCTCTCTTTTCTGCTTTCCCCCAGGCTCTATCCCTTGAAGGTCTTGGTCCACGTTGGCTGTCCCCATTGCTGCTGATGATTATTACACACCACCCCTAAACTGTGGCTGCAGGTAAAATGATTGGGGAAACCCAGTGCAGTTCCCATGGGGCAGGCAGTCCTGAAAAAGGTGTTCACAGTGTGTTCCTCCTGGAGCTTGAAGTCCTGAGAGATGCTGCAGGTGGAGAGCTCTGCAGAGGCATCAAGACCATACAAGAGACGTCTCTGAATACTGGCCGAGCACTTTTACACTCACATCAGGTTTGCTGTCTCCTCCTTTTGAAGGACCCAGTGACATGCCATGGGCCTTTCACATGATGGCCTTTATAGAAGGCGGGCAGAGGAACAGGACCCAGGTCCCCAAAATGCAGCCTCTAGGTCACTGGCACGACATGGGAAGGGTATTTTAAGAAGTGCAAAGAACATTTTAATTTTAATAATTAAATGTTGACTTTAATTTTATGTTCTAATTTATAGCAAGTCATTTTGCTTTCAATGATAGCAATGTCATCTCTCTTTAAAAAGTAAGATGTCTTAGAGAAAAATACTTAATAAATAAGTCAGGTGAAACACAGGTGTGGCAAAACTGTAAAAGTTGTGTGCAAAGTGCCAAAGAGTAGGAAAGCTGACGGAGACGGGCTCCCAGGACTGGGTTCAAATCAATGGTGCTGACTGTTAAATCTTCAGGAGTTTTGTACGTCGTTTGTTAACCACTGATGCCTTGAACTTGGCTGTGGTGGTAGGGTTATCTTTACACCACAGAAATCGGCAGACACTGCATCAGGGCCTCCTCCCTGCCTCCCTCGCTTGCTCTCTCTCTTTTTATTATTTTTCTGAGAGTGGTCTACCAGAATGCCTCTGGTTCAAATCCCTGCCTGACCACATGTCAACTGCACGGCCTCTGCGAGCTCCCGTCCCCTCTGGGATCAGCCTTCCTCTGTGAAGTGGGCCTAATGAGCTCTCCCTCTCTAGCTCTGGATGATGGGTGCTGGAGGCTACAGCTAGCGCAGCCACCCCGACTCCCCTGTGGCTTGTCTGGTGGCCCAGAGACCTGTGATGGGGTCGGGCGTCAGCCTGGGTGAGGACCGCAGCACTGCCTCCCACAGGCGTCACCCAGAACGAGCCGCCCTCAACAATAGACGTTCAGGCCGGCCGCTGTCCTGCACACTCAGCCGCCAGGTGCCGCACTGCCAGCAGGCACACAACATAATAGCATCTTATTTTGAAAAATGTGCAATACATTTGTGTCAGCAACCCAAAATTTGTAATCATTCTTAATGAAAAACTTCAAGTATAAGAAGTCGAAAGGCTGACACAGTGAAGCACTTGTTCCCCACCACTTGGGTTCAACCATGGTTAACGTTTGGTCATAAATGCTTTACTTGTCTAGTGCTTTTATTGAAAATTTTTTTCTTGAACCATTTTTTGACACTTTGGACAGTTCTCCTATATTGTCATGACAAGACAGTGAATGGTAATTCCTTAAAATAACCCTACATCCTACCCTGTTCAAATGTTCCCAAACATCTAAAAGTAGTCCCTGCCCCTTACTGTTTTCTTTGAATGGGATCTGATGAAGGTTCTGCATTGGGTTTGGTTGCATCTTTTTCTGGAAGTTCAGACTTTGAGGGTACAGCCCCAGCTCCAGCAGATTATAAGTAGATGGCCCGTCTGTGGCTTTGAGGTTGTGTCTGACCCAGACCGTACCACTCAGAGTTGACCAGAAAATGTGTTCAGTTCTGCAATTATCTGCTGATAACACGAATATATTGTATCATACTTTTTTTGTGTGTAGACACAAGTTATACCACAGTTACTGCAACTTTCCTTGTTTTTAATATACCAGGAACTTCAGAAACTGGAGACAGCCCAGGCTCCTCTCGCCTCCCAGAGTTCCCCAGAGGAGGGAGGCGGCTGCCTCCTCCGTCTCCTGGGGGCCAAGGCAGTCGCGGCGGGCAGGTGGCTGCCGGCCGGCTGTCCTCTGAGCCCAGGGTGCACAGGCCACGTCGGTGAGAGCAGGCTTGGATCGGGTTGGGGGGGCTCTGTGAAAACCCCTGTAGACAGACAAAATGGCTCAGATTTGAAACCTGTCATGGTCCAGGGCCGGGAATTAAGTTTTCTGTAGGAAACCCGGACACAAGGATTTTCACACCAGTTTTGCAGATGAGGAAACAGAAGCTCAAAGAAGTGAGCTCCTTGCCCAGTGACCTTGCCACAGCTAATGAGAAGTGAGTGGTGGCACCGGGGTAGGAGCCAGTCCCCCAGCTCCAGGACCCCTGCATTTCACTGCCACAGGTCATGCCAGGCCCAGGATGCAGCCGACGCCTGGATTTCCTGGTACTCGGCCCAGCCCAGGAAGCGGGAGTCTCTGTCCAGGAATTCGAGTGGGGCCTGGGGCCAGTGCTGAGTGGGCACAGGCTGCTGGGTGGCTGCCTTTAGAGGATCGAAGGCATCGCCTTGTCTTTTGTCAAGCTTTGTTTGGTCAGAGTGATGAATGACTGAGCCAGAAAGAGCTGAGAGAGGAGGTGCGGGGTGGGCTGAGCTGGCCTGGGCAGGTGGGCCCTCGTGTCTGACTGCTGGTCCCCAGGCTGACCTGAGATGGTCCCCAGGGTCCCCAGGGCACCTCTGCCTGGGATCTTGCTGTATCTGGGAGGGCCCTCTGTTCAAGGGCGGCAGAGATGTGAACAGAAAGAGACTCTTGGAAGGCTGCAGGGTAGCTTATCTGGGGGAAGGCAAGGTAGTAGGGGCGGGCTCACAAAGGACAGCACCCAGGTGACTCTGGGGATCTGGGAGCTGGAACAGAGGGGTGGCTTCATCAGGGCACTGCTGCTAGGCTGAGTCAGCGTTACATCCCTCCGGGAAGAAGGCATCTGAGCTGTCTAGTTTGAGTCAGGTGCCCGTAACTTGATCCTAGAAACGCAAGACACCTTGACAGCCAGCCTGCCAAGAGAGCATCTAGTGGAGGAATAGTCCCCAAGAGCCAACATAGCCCATTGGGCACACGAGACAAGGGCAACTCTGTCTGCGGCAGGGAAACCACACAGGCTACCTGATCCCACTTCTGGCCAGGTGAACGCCACTGATTTCTTCCAGAAGTGGAGATGGGCTTCCAAGGCCCTCTCTTCAGACATGTCATCCAGCTGGGGGATAGTGCCACTTCCAGTCAGTCTGTGGTCAGCTGAGAGATTGACATTAGGGCCCCAGCAGCTCTTCTCTGACCGGCAGCCTGGGGATTCAGGTGGAGCAGGGCAACACAAGCTGCCGGCCCGGAGCTGACAGCAGCCTTCATGCTGCTTTTAAACAACATTCAACACGATAAAAATAAAACAAAACCATGTACACAAGGATGTTTATTGCTGCATTAGCTACAGGGGCAAAAAGTTGGAAATAAACTCGTTTATTTGTTATGCAAATTATGGTACAAGAAACATGAGGATGATTATGCAGCTATTAATATATCAAACAAGCTGTAGCAACGTGAAGAACACTTATGATGTACTGTTGAGTGCAGGCACAGAATACAAAATAAATCTCTTCTTGTCACTCTGTAAAGTAAGTCCATGTGTGTGAACAAGGCCCAGAGGAAACTAGCAAAATGAAAATAGTTTGGTTTGTTTGGGAGGATTATGGGTGACTGTTTTTACTTTCCTTTTTTTTTTCTATTTTCAAAATGTGTGCTTTTTGCAATTACATGTAAAGAAGATCTCTCTGATGATCCATCAAGAGACCACTGAGGAACCTAATAGAAGTTGTGGGTTGTGGCAGGTGGAGCCAAGGGTAGGAAGGTGGGGCTGTTGTGGGGGTTGGGCTGGCAGAGTTGTGGGTGGCTCCAGATGATCCTGAGTCAAATTCTCCTTCACAGGCCTAATACTCTCCATACATTTAATTATTCTATCACTATTCCTTGAGGGAAGAAAATCGACATAAATTTGGTCTATTGACTGTGTGCACCTTTGCTAAAGATAAATCTCACGTTATTGTAGCACATGGGATATGAATACTGGCAATGTTCCTGTAAGAAGTCCTTGTTCAAAAACTGTGCCAGCTTGGTTTTTACTGAAGGCAGAACGGGCCAGCTGTTACCCCTGCTGAAATGACAGTTGGGTCTCATTCCTGCCAATCATTTTTGCCCCAGGGAAAGTTAGAAAAAGGTGGAGAACGCATCTCCCTAGAGAAGTATATGCCCCATGGTGGCTAAGAATCTCCTAAGAAAGTTTGGGGTGGGGGTCTCTAGATGTGCTCAGATATATAAAAAAAAAGAAATCTCCCAAGAGATTTCACCTATAGAGGACGAAGACCCATGGGGAATGACAGAAGACTGCGTGCCAACGTGGAGAATGGGTGGCAGATGCTGTGAGGGGTGACTTGGTGCCACTCCAGCCACCTCTTCCCTGCCTGACCCCACTGTAGGGGCTACAGGAGGTAAAAACCCAGTTTTCCTGTATACGCACACACCCGTGCACTCCTGCAACCGCTCGTTCGTTCGGCACACGTTTACTGAGCCGCAGTTCTAGGTCCTTGGAATATACAAGCAAACGATCAAGGATCCCCACCCTCAGGGCACATCCCAGCCAAGACGCCTTTCGGGCCAATGTACTGGGAGGGAAGTTCTGCTGGGCCGCAACTTCCCCTCCTCCTGCCCACAAGGGACCATGAGGATAGAAGCCACACACTAAGGGTATAACCACGTGTCCACTAGGACCAGTTCAACTGACCCTATCTTATCAACAGAGTAATTAAAAGTTGTTTTTCAGGAACTGAGACACTATCCCTTTTCCAGTTCAGGCTGGTTGAGACCACCAACCCATCAACTGGGGGCCTGTGCAAATGCCCGATGAGTAACCCTTTTGACGTCGAGGGGCTGAAAACTCCACCCTCAGATCACACTAACGCACCATCTTTGAACGTGGGTCCTGTGAGGAGCCATGGAGCGTGACTGCGCTTGTGCAGATCCTCATTACCTCACTCCTCCTCACCTCCAATCATCTATCTCCACATTTCAGACCATCCTGCCCATCATCCCTTAAATTTTGCCCCAAGCCCTGGATTGGGGACACAGTTCTGAGAGTGTTG